CAGTGTAATTTTCCCCCTCTAGAGACCAAAGCATTTTAATGATTTGAAATAGAAAGGTAGTAAGGAAAACAACACCACCCCCCCAGTTTTTTTTTTTTTTCCTTAACTTTTGCTTTATCCAGTCAGAATATAGTGACTTAGGTATTTTCCCTGCAATGGTTATAGAGCCTAAACTGACCTCTCACTGACTTCTGAACTGGACCCAGACATTGTTTTCTGAAGCAAAATGCAGTAAACAAATCTCTCAGTTCTTCTAGCCCGGATGGCTTTGGGGCACCTGATTAACGTCTTCCCTAATCCACTCAGTTAACCCCCTTTCACATCACCTAACCAGGTTTTCCCCTTTTATAGACCTCTAAATAGTTTATTTCACTTTTCTCACAGCTATTCATTAGCTTTGACTTCTTGGTACCCCTCTCCTATCACATCCAGGCTCTTATCTCAAGCATTCCTCTATTATCTCTGCTAGATTTTAAATCCATTTTCTTCAAACTGTCTTTCCCTCTTCTTATTTCTGTTTTTTGAAATGCAAATGCTAATGTATGTGTGGGGTGGGGGGGAGATGCAGACTTTGAATGTTCTTGAAGTACAAATCCCAAGCCTCCACGCCTTGGGACAACCTAAAGAGCAATCACAACATTTTAACAGGCATCTTAGAGTTAGGTGGCAGATGATAAACCCTTATCATTCTGTGAACACAGCTGCCAAACTCGATTGATTAACAGGCTTTTGTTTATTCTGGGCTGGCAAATACACACACATTTTACCTTAAGAGGTGCCTCCTTAATTTCTGAGGGTTTTGGAGCTGACTCATCAGTGTGAACTTTGGAGACAAAAGCCTAATTCAGGATATATGTCTTTCCAGAGACACAATTCCTTATAGGAGAACAGAAGTTAGAGGGGAGTGCTCAGAAAGGACTGTACCAACAGTCTAAAGGGGCACCACTTGTTTTAAATGCCTTCTTGCAAGGAAGGTCTAAACAATAGAGACCTAGGCCTCAGCCTGCCCCTTTAAAGTATTCGCTCTCTATCTTTGGGAAGATGCTCTGGGATGTTTAGAGCAAGCTGAGTATGGAAGGCACGTGTTGCAAGAGCTAAGGGCAAGTGCCAGAACCCTTCACCAGGCCAAGTTTTTGCAAAACAAAAGTGCTATTGCCTCAAAAAGCAAGTATCTGAAATAACTTCGGGATAGGTGTTGTCACAGAACAAGTATAATTATCAGTGGTAGTTTACTAATATACCTATAACTCTCCCTTTACCTTTTCCTTTTAATAGATGATTAATTGCTGCCCTGCCAAAGGAGAGGTTTGGTTGTTTTTTTTTTTTTTTTTTTTATGGCTACTATATTACAACTCTAGACTTCCTCTGTGCAATTTCTCTCAGCAAGCCCCAACTGTAATAACTGTTTGCTAATTGTAAAATCCTTATCCAGAATGAGGTTTGGGCAAACAATTTGTACTACTGTAATTACATTGTAAAAGTGTTTTAGTCCCTTGATTGTTCAGAATTAATCTTATAAAGACCTAGGAGTAGCATTAGGTTCGCAGTTGTAAATGGAAGAGGGGGGAGGGAAGAAAGAAGACACTTTTCAAAACTAGTAAGAGTTTATTTAAGCCCACAAACTCAAACTATCCCTTTCTTTAAGGAAAACCTGTGTGTAGGTAATTTAAAGTATTTTTAAGGTAATCTGACACATCATGGTTGAAGCACACAATACTTTTCCTACTGCTTTGAAGTTTTTGGTCATGTTTGAAAAGGAGTGACTTCACCTGAATCTTCTTTTTTCATCTCTGCTAGAAAACAAATTTCCCAAAAAGCAAAAATACAAAATAAATTCTATTGTCAAAGAAATCTTTATCAAAACTGGCCTTTTCCAAATTTATAAACATGGCCGCAGAGTTGAGGTAACTCCAAGCCGGTTACCTAAGCCTTTACTGGAGAACCCCTAAGGACTCTTAAAGACTATGATCATCGAAATGTATTTCGCAGTAAATTTCTCTCAGTTAAATTATACTTACACAATTTCCCTCGCAGTTCATTTAAGGATCATAAACGTAGATGTGCCCAAGTCGATGTTTGGCTCGACCCCCCTCCTCCGTGCGTTCCCCCCTACAGCCAGCCGCGCTGAAGCCTGGCGGGCCTGCTGGACCTGCAGTGCTCACACCCCCGCGCGCAGCCTTCGGAAGGCGCTCAGGTGAGGGCCAAAGCTGGCTGGGGTTCGGGGGAGACTTGCAGGCTGCCCGCCCAGTTTGGTCCTCCCGGTAATCGGAAAAGGATTGCGTTGTCTGGCCCAGCCAGCGCATTTTCCCGAGAACTAAACAGAGAAATCGCCTTCCGGAGACCGGGAGGTTCCATCTTGGCCTGAAGTTCGGTTTCCAAGTTCACGGTGGGGTGGGTGGGGTGAGGGTGGGAGTGTCAGGCAGTGGCGTCAAGAAGCTGGTAATTCACCTGGATTCACCCTCGGCTTTGACATGCGGGCCTGCCTTAACCTCCCGCGTGATGCACCGGGGTGTCTGTACCCAAAAATTACACGTTTGCGGTAGAGAAAAGTTAAAGATCCTAAAAAGGGTGGTGGTGGGGGGGGGGTTAGAGAGAGGGAGAGAAAGGAAGAGAGAAGAGAAATTGATAAGGATCCTAGGATGTTTTTTAAACAGTCGGAGCTCTTTCAAGGCAAGCGCATCTGAAGGCTTTGGGTGTGAATGTGTCAGTCCTTTAGGCACATATGGGGCGAGTACGGTGTCTGGGCGGGGATGGTGTGCGGGAGGCTGGGAAGACTCAGCTGCTCGGCTTTATGAAAACTCCACTATGCGGGGGGGGAGGACTGGACGATGACTCGTGCGAAATACTAAAGGAATAGACAACGCTTAGGGAGACTATGCGCGCTGGAGGCAACCTGATTCCAGATACAGGTTCTGATGCTCGCCCTGTGTCCCTTGCTCCTCGAAAGCCCACTTAACAGAAACTTGAGTCCTACCTCTCGGACTGATGCAAATTCTCTTTTAGTTTGCACATTAAGAGTTAGCCTCAATACATTTGAGAGCTCCTAACCTTTTCCAAACAACCTCTGCGGATAGGAGCACCCTAATCTTTCTCAAAACTCTTCCTCCTATCTACATCCCCCTTTAGGACGAGGGTTTGGTTCGCAGCTGGCGGAGTGGGATGGGGGTGGGGGCGTTGGGAGCGAGAGGCCGACTGCTTTGGGGGGAGTCAGCCTTTTGGCCACCATCAGGGCGGGAATGGGGACTGGCAGTTTGCATTCCCCGCAGATCGAAGCTCCCTGCTGATCGATTATTTGATAATTGATTTTCCCCGCAGCCAATGCGCGGCCGCTTTGGCAGGAGCGCCTCCTGATTGGCCGAGCCCTCCTCCACGGCTGCCTACCGAGATTTGGGTGAGCTCATTTTCCAGTCGACCGCAGGGGGAGTTTTCTGTGAGGTTTCAGCTGGAGGGAGGAAAAAAAATCCTGCTCCGAGCCGAGCGAGCTGCGAGCCTTGCTCGAGGATGTGAGGTTTCCAGCCCGCTGGTCGAGCTGCTGTGGCCGAGCCATCTCGGCGTATCAGAGCCAGGCGGGCAGAAAAATAAAAACGAAAATAACACCACTAAATATATTAATAAAAGGCAAGCGCAGAGTGGGAGAATAAAGAGAGGATTTTGTTAAGCCAGAGAATACGTATTTAAAGGGAGAAAGTTAAAATCAGCGCCTGGTTGGAGCCTCCGAGTTGCGGGTTGGGACAGGTTTTTGTCTGGAATCTCAGCTCCCGAAGTGATTTTCTTTTTCTTTGGCACTGGGAGTTTTCCCTGAGCCGGAATGGGGACTGGAAAGCGGAGTGGGGGGAAGAAGGGCTGGGGAGGAGAGCGCAGAGCGTCGCGGGGGGGAAGAGCTTGGGGCGCGGGGTCCCTCCAGGCCCCAGTACGGCCGAGTCCAGAGCCCCTCGGCGCTTCGAAGACAAAGGCGGCGCGGCCGTAGCCTGAACCGAGCGCGCCGACCCTACGGCGCCGCGCCCTGGGCGCACGGCTTCCTCGCTCGGAGCGGGTCGGAGAAAGAGCCTGTTTCCCTGAGTCTCCCCGGCCCGGGCTCCACCCGCGAAGTCTGGGCTGCTCCGAGCCCGCGTCGGGTTTCGCTTTCCGGCGATCATAAATAGCTTCGTGTTTGTAAACAGGCGCTGGGGCACATTCCCGGCTCTCGGCTCATTGTTCCCTCCCTTCCTCTCCCACTTCGCGCAGGACGCCGGGGCTGGGGCTGGGGGCCTCCGGGACTAGGGGGTGGGGGAGGTCCAGACCCCAAAGTGAGAAAATGCAAGCATTTCCTTTCCTTGGGCCGGGTGTCCACTTCTGACAGCAACTCTAAGCTGCATCTGCAGAAAGCCCCAGCCTTCACCACCCCACGTTCTCGGGACTCCTTAGCAGAGCCTTTCCCAGCCTGCTCCTGCTCATCGTCTATCCCCGTTTGACTTTTCTACTTGGGTTGATCAGTTCTGAGAATCCAATACTTTCCGCATTAGTCCCCTCCGCCCCGAAAAATACTGGCAGACCCCAATAATTTCGAGGAAAGTCATGAAGTCTATGCGCAGAGCCCTGTGCAAAATAACTGCCGCTGCTGCCTGCCCCGCGTTTATTCCCAATTTATTTCAAGAGAGTCGGCTTTGGGGAGAGTCTGGAGGGGGAGGGAGAGAAAAGAATACAGAAAATAAAGCCTGCGGCCGGGGGCTCCTGCCCGCGTTTGTGCGCGTGTGCCCTGGGCGTGTGGGTGTTTGTGCCTGGGCATGCGATTTAATGGAGCGCCTCTCTGCCTCTCCAGTGCGGCCAGAGCTCGCTTCGCGCACCCACCCCTGCCGAGGAGCCTACTTGCTGCAGCCCAATGCATTGTGTAAGACGCGACCTGTTATGGCCACCACTACTTCCGGGTTCTAGCATTCTGGTCGGAATCCACCTCTCCGCCTGTGCAACACACACTTTACACACGCACGGGGACTGCAAGCGGGCAGCATCGATCGTGGCTCCTTTAAGACAAACTCAGACAGACATTTTTTTTAACCCTCCTCCTCTAATCTCCCTCCAGTGCAGCAGTTGCAAAGAGGGAGAGAGAGAGAAAGAGAAAGAGCGAGCGAGAGAAGAGAGAAACTGATTAGGAATTAGGACTGATTCAAGGGAAGCGAGCGCTAGGGCTTTGTGCATTTGAATATTAACATTTGAGGTGTTCTGACCAGAAGAAGACAGAGCGGATGATCATTCATTCACCACGTTGACAACCTCGTCTGTGATTGACAGCCGGAGTGGCAGAAAGCCATGAGATTTGGTAGTTGGGTCTGAGGGGCGCTCTTTTTTTTTTTAAACTGATTTTTTGGGGGAGAGAAGATCTGCCTTTTTTTGCCCCCGCTGCTGTCTTGGAAACGGAGCGCTTTTATGCTCAGTGACTCGGGCGCTTTGCTTCAGGTCCCGTAGACCGAAGATCTGGGACCAGTAGCTCACGTTGCTGGAGACGTTAAGGGATTTTTCGTCGTGCTTTAAAAAAAATTTTTTTCCGGGGGAGTTTGCTTATTTGTTTCTTTTCACACTGGCCTTAAAGAGGATATATTAGAAGTTGAAGTAGGAAGGGAGCCAGGGAGGCCGATGGCGCAAAGGGTACGTATTAAAAAAAACAATTGTGAAACTCAAATGTGAGATTAAATTGAAACGTGGCTGAAAGACACTGCTAAAAAGTTTCCTTTTTTTTCCTCTGTCTTTTTGAATGAGGCTCCTAAAGCCGTGGCCTGAGAGAGAGAATTTATTCAGTGCATTTGTGGACTTATGTATGTTACATGTAATTAATTCAAGTAATCAAGTTTTCTATAGATTCCTAACCAGCAGCTATATAAATAAAAATACAAGCTCGGGCAATCATCTGTTTAAAAAACAAAACCAAAAAGTGCTAGATATCTAATGCTATAATGTGAGGGTTCAGGGAGCAGAAGTTTAAAGCTATTTTTAAAGTAAATGAAGCAGCTAGAAACTTCTGATATGTTATTGACTGTGCTCATCTTTTAATATCATTAGAAGTATTTAGCTTTTTTAAGCAAATGACTTTGTCATAGTACAATGGCTTTGGGGGTCGGAAAACATTCATCTTTTAAAAGTGATTTTAATGTGCATGGATTTTTATAAAAGGTAATACTTTGAAAGTTTTTGTTAGAAAAGCCCTGCACTAATTGGATACTAAGCACACAGCTACTCACTTTAAAAATGTAATACTAATTTCCCCAATATTCCTATTTGAATGGAAATGTAGTGAGAGTAAAGTGAGACAATGACAACCCAACTGAGGTAGTTTCTTAAAAGAAAGGGGGTGTCTACAAAAAGCTTTCCTTGCATAATTTGTGTCCTGGCCCTCAAAGCCCTGTTTGCAAAAGAAAGTTACTAGGCTGACACATTTTTCTTTACTGCTTTGGTTCAGGCAAATGTCAGCGTTCTTCCAAACTATTTTCACACCTCTGGCTTTAAGGAGATGAAAGTGGCAATTCCTCTTTTCTTTGAAAATCATTTCACTCTTGGCGCCTCCAGATCTTGGGAAAAGAACTTGCCCGGAATGAAGCAAGGAGAAAATTCTAAATAGCTAAATTTTGAACACAAAAATAATGACAATCAATATGAAAGTAGTTTTTCTGAAGAAGAGAAGATGGGGGTTGTATGTGCATTTGCTTTTGAATTTACATTACACCTGATGAGTTACATTTGCCTCATTGACTTCTAATCTGGGGGGAAAGTTCATAAGAGTAGAGAAAATAGAATATCTAACTGTTCCAACTATAGGTTTTCTTTAACTTTAAGGGGAAATTGCCCAATTTTAAATTCAGCTCTAATGAACATGAAAAGCTATGTTTCTCTAAGTTTCACTTATAAGGAGGCCAGTTAGTTTTGTATTATTTAGCAGAGTTTGCCTTGGAAAGCAAAGGAAATTCAGTGTCTTGCAGGACTGCCTAACCCCACGCTGGCAGAGAAATAAAATGAGAAGCCTGTCTGAATTCATGTGCTTAGCTTAGCTGTTCCCATCGTAACTTTTTTTTTTTTTAATTCCCCCTGATGGGAAGGGGCTGTGAAACTAGGCGGGTTTGCTGCACTGTCCTGGCACGTTTTATTATTGTGATTTTGAATTTCCTCCTCTAGAGACATGCACGTTTTACCTTCCGCCCTCCGGGAGAATGCCTCCCTTTCTTTCCTTCTTTCTTCCTTCCTTCCTTGCCAACAGGATCCTGAATTTCTGAACTAGTTGATAGGGACACAAGTTAGGGCAAGACCATTCATCCCAGCTGAGTCTCAGAGGGAATCCTAGAATTTTTACTCTAGATATCATTTTTAAAATAAGAAATCTCAACTTTAGAGATTCAAGGCCACTGAATTCCGGGTTGAAGGATCCAGCTGGACTGACATTATATAAGCTCGGTGCCCTGCCGTCTCCCCATTTCCCCGCCTGGCCTTCTGAACCTTGTTTTCTCCTATTTGTCATGCAGTACGACGATCTACCCCATTATGGGGGCATGGATGGAGTAGGCATCCCCTCCACGATGTATGGGGACCCGCATGCGGCCAGGTCCATGCAGCCGGTCCACCACCTGAACCACGGGCCTCCTCTGCACTCGCATCAGTACCCGCACACAGCTCACACCAACGCCATGGCCCCCAGCATGGGTTCCTCCGTCAATGACGCTTTAAAGAGAGATAAAGATGCCATTTATGGGTAGGTACAATGGGCAGCAGGTTAAGTAGTAGAGACGGGATGTTTCTTCTATTTCCCTGTGCCTTTGGTAAAAGGAAAGCCAGAGCTCTATGGCTTGGAGGTACACTATTTGGTAACTTTTCATTTGCATTGCATGGAGAATTTGCGGGGGCAGCCTGCCATCCCGGACGCCCCCCATCTGCACACACCTCAGCGCTTGCCCAGCACCCAGCTCTGCTGAGGCCGTGCCGACGAAGGGGGTCGCCCTGCAGGAGAAGTTGCCAAAGGCCCCTCGTCCCCTCTCAGACTCCGGCTCTGTAGCTCAGCGGGTTGGAGTCCTCGCTTGCTCGACTTCGCTGGGAGAGCGTTGGGGATTTCTAAATGTAGGCGCCTTTGTGTTGGAACGAAACTTTTAGTTTAAGGGAAAATCTTTTAAGCCACTGATTGTTCTGACTTGCTAAGTTTACTCAGCAACCGTATGCTGGCTCGGCCGCCGCACAATAAAATCAAGGGAGGACAGTTGCAGGTCAGGCAAGGGGGAACATGTTTTGCATTTAGGGAGTTTGACCACCATAGGCAAGGAGAGAACTCGCTCTGAGTTGTTATAGACATTAAGAAACTTCTAGCCGTTTTAGTACTTTGTGTTCAAAGGCGAAACCTGCAGGATTTGGAAGTAGGTGTGGGGGTGCTCTCAGGCCAGTGTTGTTTGCAGACTGTGGTGTACACGGTGTTCTCCCAGGCCAGTCGATTAGACCCAGGGCTGGTAAAATCCTTTGAAAGTCACTTGTGCCTACTGTGTGCTCATGAATTTGGGGACCTCATTTTACTTTGCAGCAACTTTTATTTCTATTTATTTCTTCTTTTGAAAAAAATCAGGCCACACTGACCCTCCCCAGCTGAAAACCCTTTCTGCTTTATCTTCTGGTCCCTTGTGCGATGGGCTTGTTGAAATCCCAGCGTTCTCTCCGCAGCGTTAACTGCAAATGGTTTAGGCTCAGGGACAGAACATTTGGGGAAGCTTTGAAAAGGACCCCAAACTGTTAAATTCCTGGCTGGGCTGTGAGAGCTAATAAAAGACTTGAGACACCTCCTTGAGCATTAGTAGAAGCATTTTTTTTTTTTATGGGTTTAGATAAGCGACATCTAGGCCCCTCGCTCGCTATTCTAGCTGCTTTGCCATTCCTCAGAGACAAAAATGAAAGGCTTTACCGCAGGAACATTTGAAGGAACTTTCTTTGGGGGGCAGTGGGGCCATTGGCTAAGGGAGGGAAGTGTGCCGGGAGCTGAGGAGGAGCCTTCCTGCTCTCCGAGGGCCGTGGGGTCGGGATCGGTAGGTGCAGCCCTCTGACAGTCGGTCCTGCAGCCATAGAGGTCCTTTCCCCAAGTTAGCTGAGTGCCTGCCACCAAGATCCCCCCGAGTCTTGGGCTTCGCAAGGCTGCCTTGGAGGAACCCACTTGAACGAGCCTTCCCAACCCCTACGCCCACCGCCTTTCTTCACCAGGTCCTAGATGTGCCGCGGAGGGACGAGGGCTTGTCGGGGTGGGAAACTTAATTCAAAATGGCTGCTGGAACCGCTTGGGTTTTATTCTTAGCAAATGTTACCAATTTCTCCGGCCAGATATGCTGAACAGTTCCTCAGATACTGTCCATGGCTAAGGGCCTCCGACTTCGGAGCCCTAGGAGGAAGGGGAGGTGAGCAGTCACCTGGGGGGGAAGGCGGAGGAAAAAAGTAGATGGCAAAATCAGAGAGGGGGTCCCTGCCTGGAGCTCCTCTGGCTGTTTTTCTTGGGCGCCTTTTTCACTGACTCGGGACTAACCATTGTGTTGTTTGTGACTGTTGTATTTTCTTGCAGACACCCCCTCTTCCCTCTCTTAGCACTGATTTTTGAGAAATGTGAATTAGCTACTTGTACCCCCCGCGAGCCGGGGGTGGCGGGCGGGGACGTCTGCTCGTCAGAGTCATTCAATGAAGATATAGCCGTGTTCGCCAAACAGGTCAGCAAAATACGTGTTTAAAAAAGTAAAAAGAAAAGAAAGAAAGAAAGAAACTCCCTCCCTCACCCAGCACATTTTCAAAAATAACCAGCAAATAGTCCACCCTAAGCCATGCCTGTGACATCTGCCCTGAGATTTTCCTCCTGTATGAGTGTCCGCGGACGACTTAAAATCACCCATATCTTCCCAACTCAGGCTTCATAACCTAACGCAGAAAGCTCACTCTATAAAATAAAATCACAAACACCACGCGCTGTAGCTGCCTTGGTCTTGGCGAGCAGGGCAGCGTCCTCTAGAAGCATAGTTGCCGGTAGAAGTAACCCTGAGCTCTGGGCTTGTTTTTGGCTTATTTGATTCACACTGAAGTGTTTCTGCGCGGGACGAACTCGGTGTCACCAAGTCCTTCCCGGAGGTTACTCTTTGCCCCCGACAGTGTAATGAGGCAAGAAACTAGGAAGGCGACCAGATTTCAAATGTTCTTTCTCCCCCCCCTTCTCACTTGTATTTAGATTCGCGCAGAAAAACCTCTATTTTCTTCTAATCCAGAACTGGATAACTTGGTAAGAGCGGACCCCTTACTCCCCTCCCCCATTACCCCTCCCCCCAAGCCCCCAGCTTTGCTTTAAGAGCCCCAAGATTTCGAGACGGGTCTTCCCGTAGCTGCAAGGCGGCTGCAGACGTTTCCGTCCACGGACAAGTGGTCCGAGACAAGATCCCGGGGAAATAAATTCACCTCGAGAGGGGCCGGGCAAGCCGGCGCGGGGAAACGCGAGCTTTTGTTTTTTATGACAGCCGGGCAGCGCAGCTCTAATCAGCGCGGGGATTTATCTCCGGGCCTGTCAGCGTGTGTGCTTAAACTTTGCGGACTTCCCAGTCCTCAAAGTCGCGTCACGAGGGCAGCAACCGGGCAAGAGCCCCCAGAGCACCAGTATGCTTGAAAGGTGTGCGGAAAGCCGCAGAAAGTTTGCAGTGTGAAAAGCCACACTTTGGGGACTATTTGGAATATTTTCTGTGCACTCCTTACAAGGAAACATGTAGTCGAGGGATGTGGCCCTTGCAGGTGGGGTGGGGGCAGTGGGGCTGAGAAGGGGAAGAGCCATGGGAGAGGAGAGTGTTTATGATCCCCACTTAGATGCTTTGTTGTTGTTTTAGCTATTTTTTTCTCCTTAAGAAATATAAACCTCTAGATGGTACCCAGTCGCTGCTATTAAGTTTTAGTGTTATTGCCATAAATCAAAATAACTCTATTTACTGGGGGGGGGGGGATAGGCTGGAGATAGTAGAGCTGTGACAGCCAGTTTTCTGCAAACTAGGAATAGGGTGCTCATTCTTTTTGTATCTTTGCAGATGATTCAAGCCATACAAGTATTAAGGTTTCATCTGTTGGAATTAGAGAAGGTAATTTCTCTAGCCTCTTTTCCTTTTGCTTTCTCCTCACCCCCAAACTTGAGGGGGTGGGGTTGGGTGGGGTGGGGGGAGGGTTCTGAATGGCTGAAGTTCAGGCTTCTGAGACATTTGCATAAATGTCTTTCTTTCTGGTAATTAGTGTCAAGGCCAATCTTAGCGTCCATTTCTCTTTGCAGTTTAATTATAATTTCAGCCACTAAAACCGGCATCTCAAATGCCCTAGCCTCGCATTCATTCTTAATACTTTGCTGGCTTTGTATAAATAGTTGCAGTTCTATGCATCTCTCTTGATGTTTAGAATGCTGTTGTGAGTTTGCTTCACAGGTTTTACCTTTGTGATCTCTTCTCTTCCTCTTCCCCCTTTTCTTTGCTACCTCTGGGTGGGTGGGTGAGGGAGTTTTGTTTAGTTTTGGTGAGTTTCTGGAAGACAGTCTGAGAGCAGCGGCAGGTCAGACACAGAGGAGAGGCGGAGGGAGGAGGAGGAGGAGTGGGCAGGGAGTCTGGAGGAGGTGGTGGGGGAGGCACATTAAACCTTGTGCAGAGACAAAGCAGAGTTGATAGTTGTGTCAATTCCTTGAATCTGTGAATCCTGCACACACCCCACCTTCACACTCAAGAAAGGGTGTGGGATAACATGATTTTGCTAGCTGTTCTATAAATCTCAGCAATAAAAACTTAATGCATTGTAATTCAAACTAACATTAAATTGCAAGCACACTGGGGTTTCTTGTGAGTTTTTGCATGTCAGTGATATCTGAGGCCTGTAAGAGACCGCTCCACTTATACCTAAATATTTTGAAGCTTGCTTTTTCCTTTTTTTAAAAAATCAATTTGGTACTTTTTTTGTGGCTCTAGGTGTTTTTTATATCAAGAGTACTGGCAATTTGATTTTCTTCTATTTTTTAAAAGTAACCTAAAATATGCTTCTTATGGGGAGGATCCCTAATTACAAATGTTATAAGGACTTGGGCTGTCAGACATATATCCTATGCCATCATAGTACTGGTCCTTTGGAGGTATATATGTGTGTGTGTGTGTGTGTGTGTGTGTGTGTGTGTATATACACACAATCACATTTTCCCTTAGACTTATTGGAAAAGGACTTATGATAAAGTAAGTGGATGAAATTAAATAGTTTACCTTAAATGTCACCCACGCAGGTCACCTCTCTAATGGCCACGGCCCTGGGAGCAGATGAATTTAACACGGGTGTTGAATATGTTGTAGCCTGTGAATCATCTTGTCACTGTCAATTTTCTGGGATATCTCTATTTTGCAAGAAAAGAAACTTATTCCTAATTCTGGATGCGTCTGGGGGTCTCTGGAGGACAATTGCTCTGTGTTTCCCTATTTGGAAGTTTGGATCTCACAAGGGGGGTGGTTTGCACTTGTCAATGTCATTTATGCACTCCTGATTATATTTCCATTTTTTTATTTCTGTCATAATGTAGGTACACGAATTATGTGACAATTTCTGCCACCGGTATATTAGCTGTTTGAAAGGGAAAATGCCTATCGATTTGGTGATAGACGATAGAGAAGGAGGATCAAAATCAGACAGTGAAGATATAACAAGATCAGCAAATCTAACCGACCAGGTATGCGCTTTTCAATTTCAACATCCCTAGAAAAAAAAAAAAATCTGTATGCATATTGCTTGCTGGGTCACTACCACCTCCTTTTATTATTTGCATATGATTAAGTCCCTTTTAGATACATTTCCATCGAAATGAAAATTTTTGAATAATGTGGCTATTATTGCTTCATTAAGGCTGGCTCTGGGATTCGACCTGGAGAGATGAGCTTGTAAAAGCTTTGCCTGCAAACTTGACCTGTTTCTTGTCGCTTTTAATTTTTGTCTTTATTTTATTTACCCTCTATAATAATGGGAGTGTTAACTGCCAGTGACCGCCTCTGATTGTAGGGCTTTGTTCTGGAGCATTTTTTTCCCCTTCTATTTCGAAGAAAAGAAAAGTGTAGGGTCTGCTTATTTCTTATTTTATTAGGAATAAACCCAAGATAGGTGGTCTAAGAGAGACAGCGAGGGTTTGAAATCTAGCAAATGCTGGCTATTTTCTCCCTGTCTATACGGTTCATTAGCCTGTCTTGTCAGTTTTCCTCGGGCGAACGCTTCTAGACCTCACTGAGCATTGCTTTGTGCAGTGCTCGCTGCAAGCTCGCCCATTTTATTGTACTTAATAGAAAAAATAAGACCAGGGCGAGGTTATAAAAACAGATAAATATGGACGTTTCTCCTCCTTTCTACTCATCCTCCAGCTGGTACGTGCACTGGGCCCTCTAGGTTGGCAGCTTTTGGAAGTGTCAGCGTCACGGGCACCCCGGCGACTCCCTCGGTGTGGCGGTGGGGGGCCTCGCCCCGCCTTCGCTCTCAACTGCCGGCCCTTGCTTGTTCGCCCCCTCCTCTCCGGTCCTCCCTCCAGGCCCTTCTTCCGCTGCTTTGCTAAGTGGGGATGACTTTTATTTGGAGTTGCTGGGGGGATTTCTCTCCCTCTCTCACCCTAACGCCACTGTTTGCTCCCAGTCTCTCTCTCTCTCTCCTGTCGCTGCGTCTCTGGATTGGCCCAAAGAAGTTGCAAAAATGCAATGAAAGTGAAAACCTGAGGAGCGGGTGAGATGAAACGGGCTCAGGACAGTTCTCCGTAGCGAATTGCTGCAACGCGAATAGAGATTTGGGTTGCGGGTCTCCTCTGGCCTCTCCATACATGAGTGAAGGCCTAGAGTTGTTTCTCTTTCTGACTTGGCACGTGAGTTCAGTCTTGGGAGGGGGGGGAGATCAGCCTGCCTTTGTTAAGCCAAAGGACAGCCAGTCATGCAGGGTTTTCCTTTGCAACCTCTGCCATGATCACTGTTGGCTAGCCGCTATCTTGTAGAGTCCTTGCAGGAGTGCCCGACTCCTGGGTCTGTCTTGGTGTCATCTTAAAGTTTTCTTATCTCAACATCACCCTTTTAAAATAAATTCCCAGTTTGGATTTCTCCCGGTAATCCCACGACAGAGGCCGAATTCCTCCTTTCCCCAAGAGCAGTGGAGGGCAGGCAGAGCTGAGCTTTAAAAACGCCAACGCGCCCGTTCTTTACCATGATTTGGCAAGTTTCAAACTTTCGGCAGTGTAGACGAGAGCACAGAACAGGCTGTCTGCGCAATCCTTGTGCGGCCCCGCCGAGGTGGGAAAACTGCAGGCGGCTCCCGCCCCAGCTCGGGCCCTGCGGGCTGCCGGGCCTCCCGCCTAGTTCAGCCCGCCAGCCCTTGCCCTGGAGCTGTTAAATGCAGATTCCGTTGAGGAACCCTCGTGTAGCTGCTGTTGAATAAAAATTGTAATCCAACAAGCCTAACTAGAAAATGGGATTCTAAGAGCTCCGGAGTGCTGGGTACATAAAGCTATTTGAGCAAATTACAAGAATCGCTTAGGGGCATGAATGAAATCAACACTTTAATTGCCTCCAAAATGAAGATTTATACCCCATTTTCTCAACGAATCATTATTTTATTAAAGCCAAAGATAAAGGACTAAAGCTATGGGTTTTATTGGGGGGGACACAAAATTGATATAACATCATTGAGTTCCCCCCCCCGCTCCTTCGGTAAACTTTTGTTACACAGTTACCTTAATTTGAGATATGCAGATTCGTAGGCAATTGTAGTGGATAAAAATTCGCATTGTATTCTCCCTCACCTAAAAAAATGAGAAGTGTTCATTCCGCCCCCACCACTTACTGGTGGGCTTCGCAGCTTTGGCTGGGCTCGTGGCGCTGTTGGCCAATGCGCGTGGGCGCGCTCGCGTGACCCCTGGAGCTCCCCTCGGTCTTGGTCAGAGGGCAGCAAATCCAAGTTTGTTTTTCCTAATTGTCCACTTCCCGGGAGCCAGGAGCGAGCGTGCCTGGGCTCTCTTTGGACTGGGAGCGCAGAGCGCGGGGCGCACGCGGGACCTAGCCTCGGCCCCGAGTGGAGTCCCCTGCTCTGGGAGGTGGGGAGACAGAGACCAGGCACTAGGGCCGCCCGCTGATAGCCAGTTCTCCGGACCGAAGCCTGCTTGCAGGTCCCTGGGGTTGCTGGACCCTTAATGCGGCGCCTGGGGGCTGGGCCCAAAAAGGACGGCCTCGCCACCTGTCTGCGAATGTGGCCCAGCCAGTTTGAGCCCCCGCAGAGGGTGCGCTCCAGGACTGGATGCTTCAGGTGTGGTGCGAGCGCAGCTCCTCGTTAGCTCATTAACCCTTCTGTCTCTAGGGCCTACTGGCGGCACGGTTTATTTTATTTTACTTTTATCCTCGGAGGGCGCGAAGGCTGCCACCCGCGCAGGGACTTTGGATCGACGACTTTGATACCAGCCGGTTTCCCGGAGGGCTAAGTCGGCGGATATCCATTTGGCCTCTTAGTGATGCTTTTTTTTTTTTAATTTTTATCAGATTAAGACGCCAGTAGAAGCCGTAATCTCGTTTCCCATCCCCGCTTCTGTGTCCGTCCCCCCCCTCCCCGCCGCCCACTTCCACTCCCAGACCCCGAGGAGCCAGGCCTGAGAGTCACCTCCCGCGGGCACAGGCCTCCCGGGCGCCCTCTCCCGACGGCCTCGCTCCCAGCTCCGCACGGCGCTTCCGATGCCGGGAGACGGGGCAGGCGAGGGGCACCGGGGGCTTTCGGGCCTCCGTTCCCGGCGAGGACCGGGCTATGCCCCGGGAGCCGGAGCAGAGAGAAACGATGGTGCGAGGCGTCGAGGCGAGGGTTGAGCCTGGTTGTCAGTGGAGAAGGAAGCGGGCCCGTCGGGAGGCTGGACGCCTGTTTGGGGGCTTCAGGGTGGAATTGGGGGCGTCAAGAGTGGTTAGGCGGGGAAGAGCCGGGCCTCCCAGACGTTGGATTTTAGGTCTCGCTCCCACAAGGAGCCGTCGAATGAAGTCTTCCTTCCCAGAGCTGTCTGTTGCTCGCCACTCCTTGAATCTAAGCATTTTCCACTCCAAGAACCAGTCCAGAGAGTGGAGAGAGAGGAGTGAAGAGTCTCCGGGCCCCTAAGGCCGCCTCCAGAGGTGGCCACGCCTGCTCTTAGCCAGCGCGGACTAGATGGGCCTGTGTTCGGGCGCCAGCCCGGGTTTCCCACAAGCAGCGGCAGCAAAGAAATGGCCCCTTTGGATTACAATTTTTATTCAACAGCAGCTCCCCGGGGGGTCCTCAGCTGAATCTGCATTTAACAGCTCTTGGGCGAGGGCTGGCGGGCTGCACTGGGCGCCCTGTTGCATGTTAATCCAGATTTGTGCCTGACATCTGGGGAGAAGTAATGTGGCTCAAGGAGATGGAACCAGAAAGCCACGCACGCCAGGCAGGTTAAATGCCAAGTGCTGCTAAAACTCCCAGGGGAGGAGAATCGGCCTCCGGGGCTGTGCGTCCCAGGCTGGAGAGCGCCAGGCCTGGGGCCTCGGGGATCCGGGGCAGACTTGGGCCAGTGAGCTTTGGTTCCCAAGTGGGCTAGGAAAACCCTGGTGGCGATTGCTTTATTTTAGAAGTGTGGGGTGTTGTTTCTAAAGCATCTTTTGAGTTAAAAATTCTTAAAACTGAACTTGGACTTGACTGAAAACGCCCCCTCCCTGCAAAGTCGGGTAGGGATGCATCCAAGGGAGATTTTAGCTTTCTCTTTTGGGGAGGTGTTATGGTAAGGAATGGGGTTGAGAGGGCAAGGGACAGCCTAATGTCCTTGATGAATTGGATTTGCTGCTTTAGAAAAAAATAGATGAGGCCACTGGATATTTACTAATACTAGAAATGCAGGCAATTTGTTTTCATCCAATAAGAAAACTGGCCACAAACAGCAAGAGACAGGAAAATGGTCCCTTTGTCAGGTAGTTTGTTTCTAAATGCTTACACATGGACACATCTTATTTAAATTGTAAATACTTCACAGGCTCCCAATTAATGCCTTTGTCTTGGAAACTCTCAGTCCGCAGGCCTTGCATTGACAGGGGTCTTAGATTCATCTAACTTTACTCTTTGATTGTTGTTGTGGGTCTTGTGTTGTACTCTTAATTCCTTTTTTTTGAAATATGTAAAGGGAAATTATGGCAAGATTCTCTTTAATGATTAAATAATAAGGTGTTGACTGCTTGTCACTACATTGGCTAATTGGGATGTTCATTCTAGGCCCTTTATGGCTTAGTATCCTTTGCATTAAAACTTAGCTGCTTACCAGGTGTGTTTTTATTGTTGCTTCTGATTGGCTTTTTAAAAATTTTAATTCCAGTATAGTTAACATACAGCGTTATATTAGTTTCAGGTGTACAATATAGTGATTCAACAGTTCCATATATTACTCAGTGCTCATCAAGATAAGTGTACTCTTAATCTGATTGGCTTTTAGCATGTATCTGTGTGTGAATTTCAAAGTAGGGATGTACTGATTCCTAATAGGGGCACTTAAAAAACATTTTAGGAAAAGCAAGTGAAGAATATATGCAGATGGGTTGAGGTCAATTACATTGTTAAATGTAAGTCTAAACGCTAATACTACAAAAGTTATTCCCTTTTCATAGTGCATCTCTCTCTGTCTCTGTCTCACTCTCTGTCTCTGTCTCTCTCTCAAGTGGAAGTCCCCAATACAAG